AGTGATGTCTCCTAAACGAGGAATCCAAGAGTTCAAAAGAAATTTTGTGTTTTCGGAAAAATTTATCATAGAAAAAAAAAACCAACAGAAAATATTTCTTATAGACGCATAAGGGGGACACAATAATCTAATTTGGATAGCACACAGATTTTAATAAAAGTCCGTTGGTATGTACCTCATCTTTTGTTTAAATATATTAAGTTTTTTACTTATAAATATACCGTTAAATACTTTTCAGATTGCGCAAATTAGTGTTTGCATTTAAGTAAGACCCCCGGGCTTAAACATCGCATGGGTGACAAAGATATCAGATAAGCAAAGTCACCTTCACAATTTCCCCGCTTGGTGGATTCCTGAACAGGCAAGCATCCTTGACACCCAGGAAATCATTAAAATGTCCGTTATCATTGCTCTCTTATTACTCCTATAGGAGGCTTTCGGGATGCCTCTAATGGGAGCACTCCCTTATTGCTCGTTCGGGAGGAATATGGGATGTTTTCTATGTGCACTCCCATGTTGTCTTTTTGGGAGGTTTCTGGGAGGTAACTATGGGAGTACTCCCGTATTGCTCTATTAGAAGGTTTATGGGATGATAATTCTGTGTGTGCTCCCCGATTGCTCGTTTAGGAGGTAAAAGGGATTACTCCCCCTCCTAGGACATCCCATGTTTAAGGGAGTATACAAAATTACATGCCTATACACAGAAGCATAGGGAGCAATGGGGAGTATTCGTATACTCCCAAGGGAGTACTCACCGAGCAATCGTACGATGCTCCCAAGTTCTACTGGGTAGGAAGTATAGGAATACTTATGGTGCATTTACATGGTATGAAGCCATATGAACTGTTGATACGCTAAAATAGAGGGACTACATGTTCTTATGAGGAATTCAATGATATCGAGTGGGATGCATATAATAGATTTTTTCATATGAAAAATTATGGGGAGATACTGTAAACATACTGTTGTGATACTGTTAAGCATATGAAATTATAGCAAGTTGGATTTTCATACATCTTCCCATAAAAAGTTTAACAGATGCAGAGATACCAAGGGGGATTTTTCCCATTTTGATGCCTTTTTAATATAAAAACCCACCGAAAAGGAGGAAAGCGGCAACTCCGCCATTCACATACATGTCAAAAGTATGAATTTTAAAAATTAAAAACAATAAAGAAACAAATTCAAAACAAAGAAATTCTTTGTACTAGAACTTTTTAAATTGAAGCCACTCACGTTTAGTGGACAATAAAAATACGAAGAACTATGATAACAAACTTACAACAAGACATTACAGAACATTTTAATGAGCTTTATATCACGTTTAAGTAAAAATAAGCCTATATTTTCCAAGCTGGCAAAGAAATGAAAATTTGTATTTTTTGTTGTTTACACAAAGACTTGCCAAATATACATATAAGTCAAAATTATAGAAGGCATGTATACTTCTCCCTTTCATTTTTTCATACAGTTTATGCTTCTTTCTGGCTTTTACAAAAATGCAGGGATACCGCACTTATTTCGGTACAATATGATCGTAATGTATTTTCAATTCGAAATCAAACAAAAACATCCCACGAAAATGTTTGCGATTTTAGAACCATTAGTGAATATTTGCAAACTACTGCAAATAATAGAGTGCCATATCTTACAAAGTTCAGAGTATTAACGAAACAAACAAGCATTTTATGGCTTCATGTTTCCTTCAAACCGCATTGCTATTTTTTCTAACTTTTCCTTTTGTTTAGCGCTGTACAAAATTACCTATTAAGTTATATCTTTTAATTTATACATGTGAACTATTTTCAATGAGCATTTTTTCATTTGCTCCAGAATTTTGGGTACATTTTCTTATAGTACCTCTCATTCTTTTTTATATTACATATATACACTCCGAAGTTCGGGATAGTATTTTGAATATACCAGCAATATATGTAAAAGTAGTGGCGGCTGCTGTAGAGCATTACGCAGAGCCTGAGTTCAAGCCCAGTTTTTCTAATAGTGGTTGCCCCTCTGTTGGTAATAGTAAACCTCCGAGTGTATTCTGTCATGGAAACAACTTCTCATTAAAATACAATTGCCGTTCGGAGTCGGCGTAAAACTGTCCTTTACTTTGTGTGACAAAATCACGTACGCCGCATATCGGAGGAGAAGCTACGCCAAACGCTAACATATTGTTCAAGCGATATACATATTCGTCGTTTAAAATACAAAAGCGCGTATCGCGGTTCTGCAAAACCTCGGAACTGAAATTTGTGCCAAAAAAGATATTTGGTCATCGGAAGCTCCGTTTCTCAGTGGATTTTATACTTGAAAAGGCACCAAAATATGTATGCAATACTTTTCTTGAACTCAGGCTCTGCGTAATGCTCTACAGCAGCCGCCACTACTTTTACATATATTGCTGGTATATTCAAAATACTATCCCGAACTTCGGAGTGTATATATGTAACATAAAAAAGAATGAGAGGTACTATAAGAAAATGTACCCAAAATTCTGGAGCAAATGAAAAAATGCTCATTGAAAATAGTTCACATGTATAAATTAAAAGATATAACTTAATAGGTTACAGCGCTAAACAAAAGGAAAAGTTAGAAAAAATAGCAATGCGTTTGAAGGAAACATGAAGCCATAAAATGCTTGTTTGTTTCGTTAATACTCTGAACTTTGTAAGAATGGCACTCTATTATTTGCAGTAGTTTGCAAATATTCACTAATGGTTCTAAAATCGCAAACATTTTCGTGGGATGTTTTTGTTTGATTTCGAATTGAAAATACATTACGATCATATTGTACCGAAATAAGTGCGGTATCTCTGCATTTTTGTAAAACCAAGAAGCATAAACTGTATGAAAAAATAAAGGGAGAAGTATACATGCCTTCTATAATTTTGACTTATATGTATATTTGGCAAGTCTTTGTGTAAACAACAAAAAATACAAATTTTCATTTCTTTGCCAGCTTGGAAAATATAGGCTTATTTTTACTTAAACGTGATATAAAGCTCATTAAAATGTTCTGTAATGTCTTGTTGTAAGTTTGTTATCATAGTTCTTCGTATTTTTATTGTCCACTAAACGTGAGTGGCTTCAATTTAAAAAGTTCTAGTACAAAGAATTTCTTTGTTTGAAATTTGTTTTTTATTGTTTTTAATTTTTAAAATTCATACTTTTGACATGTATGTGAATGGCGGAGTTGCCGCTTTCCTCCTTTTCGGTGGGTTTTTATATTAAAAAGGCACCAAAATGGGAAAAATCCCCCTTGGTATCTCTGCATCTGTTAAACTTTTTATGGGAAGATGTATGAAAATCAACTTGCTATAATTTCATATGCTTAACAGTATCACAACAGTATGTTTACAGTATCTCCCCATAATTTTTCATATGAAAAAATCTATTATATGCATCCCACTCGATATCATTGAATTCCTCATAAGAACATGTAGTCCCTCTATTTTAGCGTATCAACAGTTCATATGGCTTCATACCATGTAAATGCACCATAACCCTTTATCTTTCTTCTTTCTAATATTATAAATGTAAAAGTTTCTATGTTTGGATGTTTGGGAAATCATCACGCGGAAACGACTGAACGGATTTGCATGAGATTTTGTACACATATAGCTTATGGGCCAGATTGGTTAATAGGCTATTTTATTTAAGAGTTGCCACCTGTTAAAAAAAGTTTAATTTATTTAATATGAGGGAACGACTGAATGGATTTGCATGAAAATTTGCACACAGATAGCTTATGACCTACAGTGCAAAACAGGCTACTTTTCTTAAGAGTTGCCACCTGTTAAAAAAGTTTCATTAAATTAATACGCGGAAACGACTGAATGGATTTGCATGAAATTTTGCAAGCAGATAGCTTATGACTTAGGTTAGAAAGTAGGCTACT